AAGGAACGTACCGCAGCGCAGGGGTCAGCCCAGACGGAGCGCGCAGTGACTCCGGCCCTCGGTCTGGTCCCGGCACCACTGCTGACTGAGACGGGCGTCGGGGTAGTGGCAGGAGGGCTGTTCACCCCCACCCACGCTCATTTTCCTCGGCTGTCAAATGAGGGAATATCGGACCCTCCTCCCAGAGGGAAATGTTTCGTGGGGCAGCCAAGCACAGTGCTGCCACGCAAAGTGTTCGCGATATTTCTCCCCGACACTCCCCCCAGTTCTATTTCTCGCCATGCCCCCCCGCCCCGCCCCCACCGTGCACGTCTCCATCCTTGCTCTCCACCACGGCCAGGGAGACGCAAATCATGTGACATCACTCGTCCGCAGAAGTTTGTGTGCTCCAGTGCACAGCTTCAAGGCAGGTGGGATGGAGGGTATAGCTCAGTGGTAGAGCACCTGCTTAGCATGCACAACGTCCCGGGTTCAATCCTCTACCTCTGTTAAAAATTTTTTAAAAGTAAAATAGAAATTCAGGGGGAGAGTATAGCTCTGTGGTAGAGTGCATGCCTAGTGCGCACTAGGTCTTGGGTTCAATCCCATGAACCTCCAGTAAGAAAATAAGTAAATAAATCAATTTAATTATCTCCCCCTCAAAAAATTTTTTAATTAAATAAAACAGAAATTCAAAATGGGTAGGATGAGTAGAGAGGACCATCCCCGGGCATACAGGCTTGGCAACGTGGCAGGGGGTGGGGAGTCCTCTCTTGGGTCCCCCAGCCTGCTTCCTCTGCTTTCTCGGCAGCACGGGCTGCCATGGGCTCCGTGGGCAGCCAGCGCCTCCAGGAGCTCAGCGCAGCGGGCACACCTCACAGGAGTGTGGTAATGAGCTTCAGCTTCGACAGTGGCCAGCTGGAGGAGGCGGTGGCAGGGGCAGCTCAGACCCCGGGCGGTAGGGCCAGGGACATCCCAATTTTCACGGACTCTGGTGAGTGAGGGTGCGGCCAGGGTACGCGTCTTCCCAGAGCAGGCTCTGTGGGAGCCCTCAGGAGCCTTCCTGGGACGGGGAGCTGTGGGTGGTCATTGAGCCTGGGAGGCAGCATCAGTCAGGATGGATTCAATGAGCTGTGGTGACAAACAAGCCCGCCATCCCGTTGCCTTCACTAATGCCACGTGTCCAGAGAAGGTTCCGTCTTAACACGGGCTTCCAGGACCGCTGGGCACACGGTGAGTCCTGTGCTGACCTGTGCATAAACTCCTGTCTGCAAGTGACACATACGGTGTTGGTCACGTTCTTTGGCCAGAGCAAGCCATGCTTCACTTCAGTGGAGGCAGGAGAGTGCCTGAAAAGAGGAGGATTGATGCGAGGTTCAAAGACCTGGTTTTCTGTCTTTCTCTGTGACCGTGGGCAAGTGTCTCAACCTCTGGAAACTTGCAGGGTGGGCTGCGTGCGGGTCTGGAGTCAGGCAGGCTTGGGTCCAACCCTGTAGGTGACAGCCAGTTTTCGGATGGCTGTGGTTATACTGGTACCAGCTCAGGCCCAGAAAGAGGGGCTTATTCTCAGGTCCCTTCCCCTCTCTTTGCAGATGGGGAGTGGGGGTCCTGCTGGCCGAGCCGTGTGCTGGGTTGGGATAATCTCCCGGCACCCGTATGCATGGAGAGTCAGCTTGGAGCCCATTCCCAAGATGCCAGATTTCTGGCCAGGCATAGCAGTGGGCGTCATGTGACAGTGGCCGTGGAAGTGGTTGGTGGCCTTGGTGACTGTGGCAGTGGTGGTTTTAACTGTAATGGCTTCAATGACGGTGGCTGGATCAGTCAAGTTTCAACCAGAGAAACAGAGTCAGTAGGAGCTAGATAGACAGACAGACAGAGATAGACAGTATTGAAGATATGATACAGGTATCAATATATGAATATTCATATGGATTTATTACAGGAAATTGACAAACTAAAGGGGAGGCTGGCTAAGCCAGTCTGAAGTCCGCAAGGCAGGTGGTCAGGATGGAAGATCACAAACAGGCTGGAACCCCACAGGCATGAGCTGTCTGGGGTCCCTGAGCTCTGGGAAGGCCTCAAGGTCTTGCCTGATTAGGTCAGGCCCACCCTGGGTGCCTCCCTTTTGATTAACTTAAAGTAACTAAGGAGAGACTTTAATCTGCAAAATCCTTTCACAGGAGCACCTCAGCCAGTGTTTGATTAAACAACTGTGGTTCAGCTGCCAAGTTGGCCTGTTAATGGACCATCCCAGTCTCCCCACCCCGCCAGCTTGGCTCCTATACACAGCTCCCTAAACCATAGTTAAGCTCCAAATAAAGACGCTAACAGTGAAACCCCCACCGACCGTGACACAGCTGACCCCCGTGCTAACGAAAACACACTCACCCTTTCCCCAGAAGAAGCAAAGTCCTTGTGCGATACTCATACCTCTCCTTTGACACCCTGTACCTTATATACTGAGGTACAAAAACAGCTGTTATGCACGTCTTAGGTTAGACGGGAAAGGCATCAGAGAGTGAATAAAACAAAAATATTTGGTTATTACATACACACGAACATACTCTTACCAAAATAAGGAAGAGATATTCATAACACTTAACTCCTCGTGTCTGGGACTGGTCACGTGGCGGCAGCCAGTGTCTATAACCACCCACCCCGTGTTTCCTTTGCCTGAGCTCTTCTCCTGGTGGGTCATGCAGCCTTCATTCCGAAAGCTCTGGACCACTAGCAGTCCTGCTGGCACTGGGCTGGTAGTTTTCCACTGACTGTACCACAGGCCGTGGACGTCCTAAGAGAAGCTGTAAAGGATCTCCTGTCTTGCAGACATACTCTTTCTTACTCCCAGTTTAGGAGCAGCCTGACTTCCCCTTGATAGTCAGGACCAGTCACCCCAGCCAGGACAGCAGCCCTCTCCTCGGCCGGTAGACTGGGGCAGGAGGTGCCCAGGGCAGTCAGTGGCAGTCTTAGCCTCGAGATCAACTATGTCACTGTGTCTCGGGGTAGAACCATTCCTCCCTCTGGAACTAAGTCCCGTGGACCAGCAGAGCCTCGGGTCGTGCGGGTGGGAAGCGAAGTGGATCTCTAAAGGTCAGAGTGAGTTGCCCATTCCCACTGCCACGCATGGTTTCTGGATGTGTGAATGCTGACTGTGGGAGAAGCCGCCCGTATGCTGGACACTGACTTAGAGCGCATGCGGCCTCGCGGAGAACGCCGCCTCAGCCCCGCCGAGTCCCGCCTGGTTTGCTCTTCCTCTCCCGCTCGTCTGGCCCCATAGCTGAGTGTTCAAACGGCCATTCTGTCATTCTGTAGAGCCAGCTGCTTCAGGGGCTATGATGGTGATGGTCGTGGCGGCAGTGGTCTCTTGGTGGTGGACAGTGGCCACGGTGATGGTTGCACTGGCTGTGGTGCTGGCGGTTGTACATGTCGCCTTGCAGCCACGACTTGGATGACTGGGGCAGCTGTGGCCGTGAAGTTGGATGGCTGCCATGGTGACAGTGACCGTGGTTGGAGTGGCTGTGAAGGCGATGGCAGTGGCTGTGATAGTGACGATCACCACCGTTGGGTAGTGGCTCTGGCAACCTTGGCTGTGGGGATGGATGGCAGCCAGGGGGATGATAGCCATGATGCTGGTGGGTGCAGTGGCAGTGGCCCATGATGATGGACCATGGCTATGGTGATGGGGTCATGATGGTGGCTACGACAGTAACAGTGGCCATGGTGTTTGGTGACTTTTGATAATGGCCATGATGGCAGTGGTGTGGGCAGCTGTGGCCACAGTGATGGAGAGTGGCCATGGTCATTATGGCTTGGTGATTTGGATATGGTGGGAATGGCCATGGTGATGAAGGTCATGATGGTGGCTAAGCTGGCAGTGGTTCTGGTGGCAGTGACAGGTGAATGGTGGCGTGGGATGGTGAGGTGCTGTGTCTATGGTCAGGGTGATAGCCGTAGTGCCTGTGGCTGTGGTGGTCCTGATGGGGGTGCTGTGGTGGACTGTGGCCATGGCGATGGTGGCCATGCCGGTGGACTGCAGCCTGGAGAGGGCTTGTCCACTTCCCACCTGGTGTCTGGGTTTATCGGCAGAGGAGCCGGTGCCCGATGACCGCTACCACGCCATCTACTTTGCGATGCTGCTGGCTGGTGTGGGCTTCCTGCTGCCATACAACAGTTTCATCACCGACGTGGACTACCTGCACCACAAGTACCCAGGTGGGTCCCCCACAGTCTTGTCCTGCCACCACAGGCTGACTTGCACACTCAGCTCTTGCCCCCTGCCTTCCAATAACCCCACAGGCAGTACCCTGCTCAGGGAGCCCATTTTATTCAAATCCTAGCTCAGCTGTGAACTGCTGTGTGGCCCCAGGACAGCCACTCACCCTCTCTGGGCTGTCAGCCCCTTTTGGGCAGAGTGCGGAGGCAGTCCCTGGCGGGGGTGGGTGCAGGGGGTGGGACTCTGCCTGAGCACCTGCTGCTGGCCGGCCCCCTGCAGGGACCTCCATCGTGTTTGACATGAGTCTCACCTACATCTTGGTGGCCCTGGTGGCTGTGCTCCTGAACAACGCGCTGGTGGAGAGACTGAGCCTGCACACCAGGATCACTGCAGGTACGCTGCCCACCCAGGCCCGTCCCTCACCCCCTCCATTTCCCTGTGCCTCACTCTCCTTGTCTGTAAAACGGGCACACCTCCTGTATGAAAATCGCATCAGGCTTGGATGCGTGCAGCACAGGCTGGTGTGATACTCCCCCTGGGGAGGCTTTTGTGCGCCCCGAGTGTGTCCCCGGGCCCTTGCTCTTCCCTCAGCCTAGTCTGCTTGTCCTAGCCCTTTTGTCTCCATGGTAGCATTCAGCTTCAAAGCCCAGCTCTAATGGCGCCTCCTCCAGGGAGCCTTCCGGGTGCCCTTCTTAGACCTCTAAAGTGTCCACACCTTCCCAGTATTAAGGGGAAGGGCAGAGAGGGGGCACTTCAGACCTGGCCCTATGGGAGAAGTGGGATCGGGGGCTCCCCAGCCCACTGCTCATTGCCCCCTCTCTGGCCTCTCCCCACAACAGGCTACCTCTTAGCCTTGGGCCCCCTCCTCTTTATCAGCGTCTGTGACGTGTGGCTGCAGCTCTTCTCTCGTGACCAGGCTTACGCCATCAACCTGGCGGCGGTGGGCACCGTGGCCTTCGGCTGCACAGGTAGGGCCGGAGGGCGGGGACTGGCCCCAGAGCGCCCCCTGCAGGCCGTCGCCCGCGCCCCGTTCGCTTGCTGAGGGCGGGGCGTATAACACGAGGTGCTGGGCCGCAGCCCCGCGCGCAGGGGCGTGTCCGCTTGCACACGTGCACGCACACGGCGCTCCCGCAGGGCTGCGTGCGCGGGGCGCACACCACGCGCCCCCACGCGCCGCGTGGGCGTGCAGGCGGTGCCCGGGTTTGCTCAGCTATGAACTGGGCTTCAGCACTCCCCTGCCCGTGTCACGGTGTTTCTCCGGGGTGGTAGCTTTCCAACTTTTTTTTTTTTTTTTTACTTTTTGTGTTGAAACTATTTCACACCTATGGGAAGTGGCAAGAATAATATAACGAGTTTCCGTGTGTCTTTCACACAGATTCATCAAGTGTTAATTGCTTTCTTTCCCTCTCTGGCTTTCTCTGTCCACCACCCCCTCCACCTTCTAAAGTATGTGTGTGTGTGTATATATATATTTAAATATATATATATATATATTTAAATATGAAATAATATATATTTTCCCCTTAAACCATTTGGGAGTTGCAGACGTCATCACCCTTCTTGTCTAAACACTGACAGAGTGTTTAACAGTTAAAGCTGAGACATTTACTCCAAAACCACATTTATAATTGCTAAAATCAGGACATCTAACGCTGATACAATACTATTATCTAATCTACAGTGCATACTCAAGTTTCACTGATCATCCTGATAACATCCCTTATAGTTGGGTTCTGCTGATGCAGGACCCAGCCCAGGAGCACACACCGCATTATCTGTCACATCTTCAGTCTTCCTTAATCCAGATATCTTAATCCAGCCTTCTTCTGTCGCTGGTGGCAGTGATGTTTGGAAAGGTCCAGCTCGGTTGTTCTGTCAACTGTCAAACTTTTTTTGACCATGACATCCAGGGAGAAAAATGCATTTCACATTATGACCTAGCAAATGTGTGTGTGTTTATAAATGAAATCAAGTTTTCGTGAAATAATATTCTCAGTCCAGGCATTGTACTCAGGCCTGTGTTGTCCTGTTCTGTTTCATTAACCAACAACGTTGACAACAAACGCTGGTAAGGACCAGGAGACGCCAGCTTGCCAGTCCTGCTCCAGGGCTCACATCCAGGTGTGGGCGAGGCTAGGACAAGAGTCAGTGCGTTTTGATTTCCCCAGAGACTGCTGCATTTCTGACCTGCTGGTTAGAATGGGAGAGGTTATGTTGTGGTAACAAATGAGCCTGGAAATCTCAGGTTTATTTCTGGCTCCTTCTACGCATCCTGCGTGTCAGTGGGGTTGTGTCCAACACAATCACTGGGGACTGACGGCCACTCCTTGTGTATAACATGCAGCCTCTTCTGTCGCCACCGCTGGGAAAAGAGGCACTGGGAGGAAGACCACATGGGCTTTTCCCACCTGGTCCAGGAGTGACACGTGTCATTTCTGCTCAGATTTCAGTGACCAGAGGTGGAGGAGGAGCCTAGCTGGCCCCCGTGGCGGGGACGAGGGGGACAGTACAGCAGTAGGCAGTGGGCTTTGCTGTTTCCACCATGCCCTGCGAGGTGGCTGGACCAGACCCCTCTGCCACCAGCGGTGTTAATGTCTTTTCCCCGCACCCTCACCAACACAGTGTTCTCAAACTTCGGAATTCTGTTCTGCGCGGACAGATAAGCGGTGTCTCACGGTTACTGCTCTCTCTCTCTCTCTCTCAAGTGCAGCAATCCAGCTTCTATGGGTACACGGGGATGCTGCCCAAGAGGTACACGCAGGGGGTGATGACGGGGGAGAGTGAGTATCTGCAGCCCCCGGAGCCGGGTGCTGGAACCTTCTTCCTGGGACTGAGGCAGGGCTCCTGAGCTCTGGGCGCATGGGGCTGGGGATCCCCTGGCTAGTGGGGGGCGGGGCTCCCAGATGGAAGGGACATGGCTCTGATGTGCGTGATCTCGAGTGTGCGGTCCTTTGTGATGTGGGAAGCACACACCCCTCTGAGCATGGGTTCAGGGTGTCTTGGAGAGCCGGTGCACCTGTGCATGGTATGCATTTTGCATGTCTGCGTGTGTTGGGGGGGTCACCCCATCCACACCCCTGATGTACAGTGCCATCCCTAAAGGATCAAGACCCCTCGGAGCCCCAGATCCACGAGCCACCGCTGCTTGGCGTCCCAGACTAACTTTCCCAAGCCCACTTCATCATCTCCCACCCGCCCTTGCTCAGTGAATGGCACCCCTTTGCTCGAACCCCAAACTTACCCAACACTGAGTCCTTCTCCTGTCCTGGGGACCTGCCCTCCAGGCCGATTCCTTTGCTCCAGCTCCTGGTTCAGGCAGCTGACTCCGTCTGTCTCCCTGCCGCCCCTTTTCAGCCCTTAACCCAGCCCCACGCATCACGGGCCCCACACCTTGAAGCACCTTCCTGCAGGTGTCCTCAGTCTCCCTTCCGGGCCTGATGGGCCAGGCTTAGCCGTGCTGTCCGGCAGGAGGCTGGGCCCCGGCCAGGACCTACATGGACTCTGGTCCCTATTTCTCCTCTGGGGGTACTCTGCACCCTCTACCATACAGTGAGGTCGATCACATGCCCCCAGAGCTCCAAGCCTTGTGTCTATGGAGTTGGGTTCCAGGAAGGTACCCTGCTTGCAGTGACCCCCACTACTTTCCCCTGTAACCTCAGGACCTCACCCACGTGGTTCCAGGCCCATTACTTCCTTTCACCTCAAACACAAACGCACAGAGCTCGTGCCAGCCCTCTGCCAGGGATGCTCGGCCCTTAGTCTCTGCCTATCCCCCCAAATCATGCAGTTTTCGACATTTTTCTGTGACCTGTTTGTGGCCTCCCCCCACAGAGCCCCAGGAAGGAAGGGCCCGTGTGTATAAACCCCCCCCGTGTCCTGAGGGCGGGATGGTGCCGGGAATACAACAGGCACCCGATAAATGCTCCTGGGGTGTGCGTGAGCAGGGGGTGGCGCCGGAGGGG